TAATGCTGGAATTTGAAGCCCCGGTCTATCGTAAACAGTAAGTGTAAGAGATTTAAAATTTTTTGTCTTAGATTTTCTGAAACATGTTGCTACAAGAGTTCTTTAGAATTTATACGTTTACATAAAAAGCGATTAAAATGTCACTTACCTGGATTATGCGATACAGCCACGAGAATTTTCAAAGTACAAGATAGGTACAGGTCTTTTTGGTGTTTCATAGCGTCGGGCATAACTTCTACATCACAAAGATTCATGTCAAATATTTCGGTCGCGTGGCTCAGTATGTGTGTTGGCGTATTTCTAACCGCGTAAGCACAGATACTTCTGCACCAATTTCGATAAAATTTGGAGAGGGTGAGTACTTGATTTTTCTAAATCGGTAAAGTAGCGCAGTTATGATCATAACAAAAAAGTTCCCATAGATGGAGCTGCGTGACCCGAAAGCGCTCGATTGACCGCTGTTCTTACACCGACACTGATTTTTTTTCATGCCAGTTTTATCATTCAATCTTCCGGACTTCAACGATGCTGTCTACCGATTCTATGTATTTTTTTAAGTTGGCCACACTGTATGTATTATTTGAGATGGCAGCGTACATGGCGTCTCGTGACATTTTTTTGTTTTCTACGTAATCATTTCCATTAAAGTACTAAATACGGCTCATTGGTTGTATAAGAAAATATCACTGAAGGTATTTACTCGTAGTATAAGAAAAATGTAATTTGACATCAAGCATCACGTAGTTTGAAAATGCACGTCAAGTCAAGTAGAACAATAAAAAAATCGAGCCAAGTCAAGTGAATTTATTTTCAAGTCAAATACTTCATGAGAATATCAAGCTACTTGATTTGATAAATCGCTAGTCCCTAGATTTAGAGCTGGACAGAAATAGCTATTTGTTTGAAAGCTTGCCCATAGAAACTTTATACTGTGTGACGCCAAGTAAATTTCTCATTTTGAACGCGCCCGGTGCAACCGCGTTAACAGTGGTGGGGGAAGTAGAGCTACGTGCGGATTGTCAGTAAACATGGAGCAGTGGTAGAACGAGCAACGTGCGTTTATGGTCGAGGCGTTTTTTAAATCAAACGATTCCTATGTCGCGGCACGGGGATTGTTTTGCAACCGTTACAATATTAGCCGTGTGCGTGATGATCCGTCGAAAAATTTACTGATATCCTGGGTTAGAAGATTTCGACAAGCAGGTACAGTGGCAAATCAGAAGAGCTCAGTGATACAGAAGTCCATCAGAACCCCAGAGAACATCATCAAGTGTTCGACGGATTTTAACCAAAGACTTACAGTTTCATCCGTACCAAATTTAATTGGAAGAGTTTTTAAAACCTACGGACCACGACATCCTAATAAATTATTGTGAAACAATTATGAATATGTTTTGGGATGAAGGAGGCTTGGACCAAATTCTATTCAGCGATGAGACTCACTTCTACCTGGAGGGCTATGTAAACAAACAGAACTGTACTGGTGTGACAGCAACCCAAAAGAAAAGCATCAAAAACAAATGCATTCCAAGAAGGTTACAGTTTGGTGTGCCATGTCGGTTACTGGAATAATTGGGCCTTACTTTTCTGAAGATGCCCGGGGCCGCTCTGTAACTGTGACAGCCAACGATACACTGCAATGCTTCAACAATTTTTTACTCCGGCTCTTAAAAACTTGGCTGGCTATGACCCAAACGGGACCTGGCTTCAACAGGATGGGGCGACATCACACACAGCAGCAACATCATTTTATGTGAATTATTTCCAGGAACTGATATTTTAAAATTTGGGGACACCACTTTCTCGCCAAGATCGCCAGATCTTACGCCCCTCGTTTTTTTACACCAATCCTCCAGCCACTACGGAGCAGTTAAGAGACAACATTCGACAGACAATTAACAAAATTCTTATTGAAATGTGTCAGAGGACATTCCAACATTTAAGGGCATCATTGGAGAGGCACTACAAGCAGGATGGGCAACATTTGGACAACATTATGTTTAAAAATTGAAATCCGCAGCCCTGTACCTTCAAAATGTATGATTAAAATTATGGCAACATCTTTAATTTTGTTTTTATACCATGTTAAAAAGGGAAATTTACTCTGAGTCACCCTGTACTTGGTAATTGGACCTGTATATGGATTACCCTCAGATAGGCAAATGGTATTTTGATTCACTGATAAACATAGGATTTGTGACATGACAATTTATGGATGTATCTTATGTATTTTGAGACCGTTAAATAAAATCTAAGAACAGAATTTTTCTATCACCCACAGATATTCGGTACCATCTACTTTCATAAATTTCAATACGTAACTTCCCATACTGCTGGATTTCTCGGCGTTTATGCGATGACGCACATATATAATGTTAAGACCTGACTATTCCTGTTTAGAGAGCATATTGCATTTATTAGTAGACTAATAGCAGCCGAGTCAGTTACGTTTCCTGTGTTGAAGAGTGAGATGTTCTGAGTACTGTTAAGAGGTTGGTTAAGAGACGACAATCTTAAAATGCCCTTTGCTGTACCAACGGTTTGGAGAGAACCGAGAGATCATACTACTAATTACAATTTTTGCCTCACAAATCGAAACATACTGTTAAGTATTCCAGTTTACCATCTGCTTTGCGTTCCGTTAAGCATAGTGATGAACTTGCTGCCCCAGTTCCACCAGAATCTTGGTCAAGGCGGACAACTATAAATATATTGTGAGTGTACTAATTAATGTTTATAAGGGAATGGGATGTAACATGTCTCTAAAAATTCACTTTTTGGATTCTCATCTCGTGTTTTTTCCGGAAAATTTAGGTGCGATAGGTGACGAACATGGTGAACGGTTCCATCAAGACATTTTGCTATGGAGAAACGGTATAAAGGCAGATGGAGTGTCAATTTGCTTGCTGATTATTGCTGGACATTGTTAAGAGATACTTCAGGAGCAACATATCGCCGTACAACATCGACAACAATATTCTGAGATTAGTGTTTATTCGAGTATTTGTTAGTATTCTTACACATATATCCTTATATTTTACGAGTATAAGCAGCAAATAAAATGCCTTATTGCAAGAAAACCGTGGGTGGTAGAAAAAATCGAATGCTATTTCCGGCTTTTTGGGTACGTTTTACTTAATAACAAACTTGTGCGGTCCATGTCATAAAAATTATTATAACTTTGTTCACCAGTGGAGAGAAAATTTCGACTTTAGAATGGACCATGCGTTGCAACAAAGTTTTAGGGACTTGTTTGCCTATTTTCATTCGATCGCTAGACGCATATAGCTGTGATTTTAAATAGCTTCCCTCATGCAGCGACATAAATTCCTATTGAAAAGCCATCAACGCGCCGGCTTGCATGTCCTTGGCTGCAGCTTTGATCGGTGTACCAGGACGAGTGGAGGGCCTCCCGGGAGGGTAATGAGCACCCTAATGGGGAGTAAGGGGTGGGCAAGATCCACTTATCTCCTTGTTTATGCACCACTTGCCGCTACGTACGGTCGCCTAAGGCCGTATGTAAGGGATGCAATTAGGGGATAGTTCGCCGGGTTTAGCGTGCGCTACCGTTACCGCTAGTCTACGGTAATTCTCTAAGACGAACTCTATGGCTTTCGGGGGATGTGATAGTCATTAGCTACTGCTTAGTGTAGGTCCTCGAACTTTCTATAGAATTGCACAAAGTTGGCGCTACGCATTTCAATGTAATCAACCACTAACAACGATAAACTAGGTTACAATTCCGCTGGCCAATACGAAAACATTTTCCAGATTGTTGTTTTCGGTACTTTGTAGTACACAGTACTTTTTACGTAATAGACGGGACAAGGATTTGTGGACAGATCAAGAGACAGAAAGACCGACGGAAATGAGTGATATGGTTTTTAGTGATGTACAATGTACATGTAACTTCCAAAAAGGATAATATCTCATTTTCGAATTGTTTCGCGATTACAATACTTCCTCGAATATAAGCGTGAGAAGTATCCCAACTAACAACTATCACTCCTATTAGAGTTGCAAGAACGATTATACAGTCTTCCTTTCACAGCATTGTATGCTATAAGAATATTGGCAAAACCCTCTTAGAACAGCTATACAAGCGAAATGAGCACACCTAATAGGACGCTTCAGTCATTTAAGAGGTTGTATAAGGGCTGCAGGTAACAGTTATCAACAAAAATGTAGTCCTCTTGCAGCCCCTATAGAACATATGCGTCGGTGCAAGATTCAGGTTTTGTCAACTATACAACTATTCTGTTACATGATTCTACTTTATTGCAACCAAACTATTTCTTATGTATTGTATAGGCGATAACTAGCACAATACAGTCATCTTGTTTACTTACATATCGGCCATTGTGAATTTCATGCACAGGTATATGATAAACTTCTACACGGTGATATATAGGGCTATTGAATTACTTGGGCAGCAAATTTTATTGTGATTATCGTGCAAAGTATTTATGCAGTTTGTACGGGCTTCGTATCTGGTTCATATTTTAATAATGATCAAAAGTATGTTTAGATTTTTAAGATGAAAAACTGAACTTATCTGCGTTAAATCTTCCACAAATCCTATATTTAGACACAATTACACCAATGTTTATCACTTTATATCGGTAATGTCGAACTGAAACGTCATTAATTAATTTTCAATAGAAGAATATATTTTTGCCCAACATGGCGGGTGGTTATGTATAATCATGGCATCGTCCATGTTGTCTTTGGTTTATTAGAATATTTTGGTGTTGTCTGCAAGTGTTAGGCCTCGTCCTAACTGGCAGCAACCGTGCGAAGAGATTCGTACGAATAGTATTCGTACGAATTATCTTAGCATTCAATCAAGGAGGCTGGAATGGATGTGTCCTAATTAGAGGATTTTACCGTCCGGCGTCATCGCACGGATCGTCCGCACGGACGAGCTCGGTTTGATTCGGCATCGCATCGTGTTACTCGTACGGCCAGTCAAGTTCCAACCTGCGTTTTGCAAGTGTGGTGTCCTCATCAGAAATTTCGAATAAGCGACGAGTTGTGATAGTACGGGAGAAATCAAACAAGTTTGTTTTTCGTCATCCGAAGTTGGTTTAAATATTATGTCGTTCGAAGAGAATTTAATATTGGAGGTCCAGGCAAGACCACTATTGTGGAATAAACAAAATGAACACTATAAAAATCGGAATAAGGCTCACGAGGAGTGGGAGAAGATAACAAGATCGTTGGGAAAACCCAGTAAGTACATGATTTTTTATTTCAATTTCTTTACAATTTATGCACAGGCTTGAACTTATAGATTATTAAACTAAATCAGATACTAAATTATTAGAAAAATATGCACAGAACTGCGCTCTTGCAGCAATAGCAGCCCTGGAAGCTCCATTGTTGTCGCGAGATGGAGTCACATTATAGTGGGTACTGTTAGAAGTAACATTACTTTCTGCATTAAGTTGTGGCGCGAGACCTTCCTTATCTATTATAACATTATGCAAAACACAAATAGCTTTAACAATTGCGGTAGCATTGTTGACGGACGTCTCTATCGGTTTATTCAAAATTCGAAACTTGGCGGCAGCTATTCCAAAAGAGCATTCTACTGTTATTCTAGAAGCAGATAATTTTTTATTGAATAAAGTTTTAACCTCGTCTCCGTGTGATGTTCTGCGTGGAAATGGCCTCATGATAAAAGTGGTTAGCGGGAACGCTTCATCCGCCAAAAACACGTAGGGGGCGATTATGTTCGAATTTCTAATTCGTTCTTCTGAAGGTAACTTATATGTACCGTCTACGAATTTTTTGAAAAATATGGAGTTACTCAACACACCTCCGTCGCTGTCTTTTCCATATGCCCCCACGTCGATGATTCGGAATTTATAATCTGAATCAGACACAGCCAGGAGCACAATTGAAAAAAAACCTTTATAGTTGTAAAACATGCTTCCTGAATTCCGTGGCTTTTTCACACGGATATGCTTTCCATCGATGCTCCCACAGCAATGCGGAAATTTTCCCTTTTCACTGTATGAGGCAGCAATAGCTTTGAAATCTTCTATACTGGGAAACTTCATGTGCTTGTTGTGTAACTTCTTCCAAATGACTTTACAAACTTCGATCACGATGTTTGCAACCGCTGTTCTTGAAATCCTGTATGTGAACGAAATTTTTCGAAAAGAAATTCCAGTCACCAGAAACCTGGAAGAAAGAACACGAAACAGATATAAATGACTCTATGCTTTATTCACTTTATGTAAAATTAATTATTATTAGTATTGTGGCTGATTATAGGTTTTTTACAGGAGAAGTCGTGAAGACCAAATGGAGAAATTTGAGGGATACTTTCCAAAAGGAACTGAAAAAAATTACTGTTTACCGTTCGGGTGATCCAGGTAGTCCAACTCTCACTAATTACACCGGGAAGTGGGTGTATTTCAACGATTTATGGTTCCTAAAAGATGTCATGAAACCTCGTGAAACTGAAGGCAACTGCCCTGAAGAGTCTCAAGAAAGTGAGGCGAACTCTGCAGAACAAGATATTCTACCAGAGGTCATGAGAAACGCACAAACGAAAGGCCCTCCTCGCAAGAGCATGGTACCCATTTTGCGCCAGCACCACAGTTTACAGAGACAAACGGTTACATAACGCAGCCTACGGATACAGTAGAAATTCGCCAACTATTTGAACAATCCAGTGGCACATCTTCATCCCAGACTTCACTGGCATCACCACCATCACAGTCAAGAGTTACAAATGTTGATACTATTCTCCGACGTAATGAAAAACAACCAAATAAGAAAAGGAAACCATCGCCATCGGCGGCCGTCATTACGGGCTTCCAGAGGCATATGTTGGAGGTCGAAGAAAAGAAAATCGCAGCTTTCAAAGAGAGAAGTAGAATGGTGGATGATGAGGATATGCTATTTGCTAAGTCCTTGGTTCCTTATTTGAAAACTCTTCACCCTATTCAAAAGCTGAGATTGAAAAGTAAAATTCAAAACCTGATTGCTGATGAAATGGCAGCATCGCCTGTTTCTGATCATAACATCGTTCTTTCCTCACACCACTTTTCAGAATTCCAAGTTTCATCCGACTGTATTCAGCCTCGGGATAACCTCGACAATATCTCACGCGATGCATCAATACCCATTAACAATGCCTGTATCGCTATAGTCGATGATCAAACATCGTATTCTATTTAAGATTTCCAGCTACGTGTTTTTTGTTAACTTTTGTATTTTTTTAATAAACTTTACTACTTTCACTATATTTACTATTTACTGTAATACATTGATAAGAACTTACTGTATGGTTAACATCAGTCTTTCTTCCACGCTTATCGGTTGTTTAAAGTTGGTGACCTGGTGGGTGCATTCATCGCGTATTTCATTGCAGATGTAATCGAACGTTGATTTGGACATTGCAGCATACTCGAAAAACAGTTCTTCGTCATCATACAGTTGGGGATAAAGATGATGAAATTCTCCATGCATGCAACGATCTTTCCATATAACCTTAGTAGATTGCTGTTTTCTGGGTGGGTTGGGAAACATCAATGATTGGAAATAAACATTCCGGGAAAACAAAAACGTGGCTTCATCTTCGCTGTCCATCTCGCAAACGAATGTAGAAGTTTTGTCGTACGAACGTCTAGTCCTCTCCTTGATACCTTCTTTTCGCAGGTGAATAAGGACACCCAAAATGCTCGCGCGAAAGTCCTTTTCTTCGTGCGAATGTTTCGTACGAATCTCTTCGCACGGATGCTGCCAGTTAGGACGAGGCATTATACAACATTTTGACAAATCTCTAAAATGAAATACGGACAGAGTCGAATGATTTACTCAGAATTTCTACCAGATCTATATCTCCTGTTTGAACAGTTGATAAAACCTTTTAAACCAATATGCTTAAAATATTGGTTATGGCATTTTAACTAAAAAGATGACAGCAGAAAGTTAGGTTATGGTGAAGTTGTATACCAGCATATTTTGCAACAAATGTCTGCCGAGCACAACAATTTTGTACTATAAAAGTTGTAATTTGGTTGCAGATGTACAGCCTTTAACAGTTACTAAACGACAGTTGTATAAGTGGGAGAAATTTGTTAGCTAAAGTTGTAAATGTGCACACCAAAACACCAAGGCTCGGGTTTGCTGTATGAACGTTACCATGGATGCCACAACATAACTATTTTCACTACCGCGCAAATATGCCGTATAAAATAGTTGTATAAACGTTTATGTAACCGTTCAAAATTTGTCCTATAAGGTGTCATATAACTATGCTATAAGAATATTTTAAACACCTCATTTTAGAGCAAATATGCTACAGAAAGAAAAATTGCATTCCATACAACATTAAGCCAGCATTTTGGTGTTCAGGCAACAACAATAGAGAGCTTTTACGGCCGAACACTTCTTTTACCAAAAGCTTATAGCACTACTTTGCTAGTTGGGATAAATATCAAGAATTTCTTGAATGAGATGCCTGTTTTAGAACCTGATGATGATGAGCAGCAGCACATGTAGGTCCCACCTTCCGTGGTAACGGTATTCCATTGTGCGAATACCTTGGTGATTCGAATAAAAATGTAAAGAGCGTAGACTGATGGCCATGTGCATCCTAGAGATATCAGAATAGACGACGAATTGTAAACAGTTTTCCGATTTATGACTGATGAGAAAAAATTTGGGAGTACCGAAACGTAAGATGTTCAGGTTCGCTTTTCAAGTTTTGACAAAAATTGGATCCTTTTTCAGCTGTATAATTTGTGGTTCATCAAATACACTACTTTTTGTTGATCGAGAAAATTAGAATTAAATTGTAATAGATCTACTGCTATTGTAAAAAATCGTACCTATTACTATTAAGTGATTTCTACTTCTCCTTTCTGATATCCGCGAGCAGCAATAGTAAAATATTTTTCACAGCCGCCACTCCCTATTACTGTTGTGAAAGGTGGCACATGCAAAAAATCTATCGCAGGTAAATCTATTACAAATTCTGTTCAGTATTTACTGTGGGCCATCAATGTTAATCATGGAATTTGATATTTATTGCCCGTGTAACCATGGCGTCATTTATTATTGATGTACTAGCATTGCGAGTTCTGCGACCTAGGTTGGTACGTCCAATTTTTTGGCATTTTGAAGAATCACAATTTTATTATAACGCGTGACTGCGGTGAACTATCTTCCATCCTTGTTAATTATTTTTGAACAAATATTTCTTAAAAAACTCACTGAACAAACTTAAACTGGATAAAAGCTCTAATCGAATGGACTGTGCAGTACTAATAAGGTAAACAAATATTTTTTCATCGATAAACACTGCCAAACGATACTATAAATTTGCTGCGTGCGAGCTATCAAGTTCAAAATGATTAGTGAAAGTCAAGTAAGCAGAAGAAACTTATTTTCATCCGCCATTTGTATTCATAAAGTTAACTGACAAAGATTACAATTAGGCAACACTATAGTTCCGTTTGAAGTGCCATCACAAAGTACGGATGGTAAAGGAATAATAGTCCAAAAAAGAAAGCACCGTTTCTTCATAAACAATTTTCTCTCACATAGCTAACTGCCAATAGCTGTTATTATAATAATAATAATAATAATAATAATAATAATAATAATAATAATAATAATAAGAATAATAATAGCTTTATTGTCCAACAGTTTCCCATTTATAGGACAATTTATAAACATAATACAATAGCAAAAAAAAGCGAAAAGAAAACAACAAATGCAACACAGGTATAAATTTGTAACATGAGCTTTTGGTCCAAATAAGCCTTAGCTGCCTTTAGCAGGTAATTAACATTTGTCGTAAATATATCACAGTAACATCCAATTCTGTTTAAGTTAGAGCACATTACATATAACGGTGACTAGAGAAGAATGTTTGTCCTAGCTCTAGGAAGCCCGAATATTTTAGGATTGCGAGATGCAAACGTTGGAGTACGAAACTTGATCTGTTCCAGGACCATGGGGCAATCAATTAAATTGTTGATCATTTTGTAGCCAAATATTATTGAGGCACAGTACCAACGTTTTTTCAAAGTCAACATGTCTAAACGACTACATAGTTCCTCATTCCTCTCTCTGGATATGTCCCATCAATCCTAAACAGAACAAACTTCATAAACTTCCGTTGTACTCTTTCAATAGCTGTGCTATAAGCATTTATAGTAAGGTCTCCAAATAATACTACAATATTCGACTTTGGATCTAACACAAGCATAATATAATAGCTTAATAGACTTTATGTTATGAAAATTCCTGCAATTCCTTACTATAAAACCATAAGCCGCCAATGCTTCTGATGCTTTTTTGTTTATATGCTGACTAAAAGTTAACTTTTGATCATAGATTATACCTAAATCACGTACATCAGAGCATCTTTCTAGCACAGACCCATCAATAGAGTACGGATATTCGCAAACATTAATTTTCCTGGTATAGCTGACTATTTTACACTTCCTCACACTAAGCTCCAACTTGTTTTCTACATACCAAGACAGCACAAAATTTAATTGATGTTGTAGCTTGATACAATCATCAGGAGTATTTATCTGCGAATAAATTTTTAGGTCGTCAGCAAAGCATAGGCGTTCACATTCAACTGAGTCACAGAGGTCATTAATAAATATCAAAAACAGTAATGGTCCCAGGTTGGACCCCTGAGGAACTCCAGAAGGTGCCAAGTAGGTCTCAGATTGGAAGCCATTATAGCTAACAAATTGTCTACGATCGGATAAGTAAGATTTCATCAACTCCCTAGCATCATCTGTGAAACCAAGTGCACCTAACTTATTTAATAAAGTTTTGTGGTTAATTTTATCGAAAGCCTTCGAAAAGTCGGTGCAAAAAACGTCAACTTGCTCATTACTATCAATGGCCTCCGAGAGGTACTGCGTTATTATAAATAGATTTGTGGTTGTTGAGCGATTAGCGACAAATCCGTGACGCTGGACGGCAGTGTAAATGCGACTGTACAAGACTATTTCAAAGACATTCGAGAACATGCATAATATAGAGATTGCCCTGTAATTCTCAATATTTGAGTTATCCGCACACTTAAACACTGAACAGACCTTAGCGATCTTCCAAATATCTGGAAATCTTTTTGTTATAAGACAAATATTAAAAATCCTAGTTAGAACACCAACAAACAATTCCACACAATCTTTGACTATAAAGGACGGGATGCCATCTAGACCAGATGTCATCTTATCCTTTAGTGTTGGAATAAAGATGGATAGGAGTACCTGTCTCTTTTGGTACTTGAGATATTTCTTCTGATGTGCGTGCTCCATGCTCAAGCAAACTGTCAAACACGCGTAGCTTAAATAGTCGTTAGATTTTTAATGATTTCCCAATTTTCTGTGCAATTTTCTTGATTTTTCTTTCCGTAAAAACTTTCTATACAGCATTAGTAAACTTAAAAAAAAGATGAATGAAATCGGTAAAGTCGTTCTGAAGTTATGGCATGACCACGCGAATTAGGGATTCATTTTCATATATCTAGAGAAGGTTACTTGAAAACCCACTGACACTGTCGGAATGATTAGTAAATCCTGATGGTCGAACTTCAGTCAATACTGATTGTGTAACATTCGTGATACTTTGCAATGACAACTATCTGGATCGTTTAAACAACGTCTGTGTTCTCACAGACTAGAGCCTCTAACAAACATTAATGTTATTTTTAAAATCGGTACATCATATGCGATGATAATATTCTGAGAAAATTGTATGAAGTAGATATTTGTTGAGTAATGCTATCAAAAATAGTTGAATCTTAACTTGGATATCCAAAAAAGTTAGTTAATCTAGTGTACTGTTTGGTAGAGACTACAAATATGCATTTTTTGAAAATTTTCGTTGAAACTGCATTAAACTTT